TCCCGATAGCATTGATAGAAACGACGTTTTATTTGGCAGCTTCATTCGCATGCGGGAGGAGTGATTGGGGAAATCCAGAGGAGGAAATAAAAAAAATAAAAATATTATTTACCGGTATGGTCGGTCCGTATAGAGAAATATTTCTCTCGGTCTTAAAAACGTCCCTCGGCCTTCGGCCTCGGGCCGTTTTTAAGACCTCGAGAAATATTTCTCTATACGGACCTCCAATCCGGTAAATAACATATATTTATTCCCAGATTAAAAATTTTTCTAAAGCGCAAGTCGTCCATTGAAATCGAATTGCTAATAGATCATATTACTGTTGTTGTGCATTAAATAAATGCATAAATTTTGCTTTATGCACTCGCGTGTGCAGTAATTTTGACAGTTGTGCTATTTTAAATTCCCAGGCGCCTAAAATCTTTTGTCTTTAAAACCATGTCGATTTCTTGGGAAATTCCGAGGTCGCGTTTTTTTTATACACCCTGTATATAACTTTCAAAAACGCATTAATAATTCATGAGGAAAACACAAAGAAAAGTCATAAGCGTGACGTATCTTTATTTCTGTGAATAATGTGATATAGAGATTTCCCTTGATTTACATAAACTTTAACTTCGATTTTCTCGACTTATACAACGTATTTTTTGAAAATTACTTCGCTAATGAACTTACTAGATCGATCGTGTTTGAAACATCTTACTAGATCGATCGTTTTTAAAACATTTGCGGTGCGTGTTTTTAAAGTATAAAGATACTCGGCTTCGCCTCGTATCTTTATATCTGATAAAACACTGCTGCTCAATACCACAGAATAAGGCACACAGAAGGTCGACTCGAGTAACCGCTGCCATGCCATGATTCATCAAAATGCTGATGCCATGGTCCTAGCCAGTGCGCGTTTTAGAGGCATTCCCCCCTGGACATCCACCATTTTGAATATTATCAGGGGGGTGAATGCCTCTCAAACGCGCACTGGCTAGGACCATGGCGTCCGCATTTGATGACGAATTATGAGCTACGCCAAAACCAAGAAGCCGGAAAAATTCATTCACATGCATGTTGAACTTTGCAGTTAAATTGGAGAAAGAAGTCTTTAAGTTTTATTGTAAGAGATGAAACCATATAATTTTCAATAGTTTCTAGATCACTATATAGGTACGGAATTGAAAAGAGTCAAAAGACTTGCACCACTATAGGATATCTTACCTTTACTGATGTCGGTTTTAACTAAAGGGAGCCACAAGTCAGTCTGAGCAGATCTTGTGTTAGCAATGCCAATGGACACTTCGCGACAAGAAGCAAACATATTACGTAGATCAACTGGTAATAACATTTAAAAACCAGAAAAAATTTTCTCATCCATTTTAATTTTTGAAATAACCCTATAAACGATGTATACGTGGTTCTTGGTCTTGCTGCTCTTTTTTCCAGAATTAATAAATCATCAATAAGCTTTTTGCGAGCGTTCCCCCATGTTATAATGCAACAATATTCAATAAAGAAAGTGGGAATAAATAAGAGCATACAGATGGGCTTCGCTCATGCTCTAACTTCTTCACTCTTCTGTTCAGCGTATCGTACCAGGCAATGGTTGTTTCAGCATACCAGCCCATTCTCCAGTTGTAGTTAGTGAAAGTTGTGGTACTGGAAGAACCCTACTTCGTTTCCTTGCCATTGATGCGTCAGGGGAAACTGAACGATGTCTGTTATCTGAGATAATACCTCCTTGGATATATGATGTCGTGGTCAAGGTAAGATTATTTCATCTAGTTTTTTTTCCACAAACAACTATTGTATAGTTTTTTTTTTGTTACCTCAGTTCATAGACGGATTTTCAGATTTTGCGGGAGGTGAGCCAGGAGATGCGTAGCACCGAGCTGCAACAGGGGTCCGGGGGCACAATCACTGATGGGGGAAGGTTGGGCTAAGGGGGGAAAACCCCAGGAAATGTTGAGATTTTTTATCTTATTTAGTTCAAAATCCTTATTTAGATTTTTGGTCTTATTTAGTTCAAAATCTTATTTAGTTCAAAATACACCACTATCATTTAATCCAATGAGCATTTATATTAGAGGGGGTGCAAATTTCTTCAGGTGGGGTGAGGGTAATTTTATCTACAATATTTTTTATCCTTTATAGAAATTGACGCCCAAGTCAAATAAATTGGCATTCTTTTTACTCCCTCATTCATCCAGTTTAAAGTCTCAGAAAAGGTTAGTGTAATAATATAATACCTGGAAACACGGCATTTTGTGAGCTTTCCTTCATAACAGGAGGCAAACCTGAGGTAAAAAGTAAATGCATTGACCATTATACTAACCATGCACTTAACATTAAGCTTTACTAATTAACTAGTTACTGATAAGTTGTTTTCCTTTCTTTCTATTCATTTGTTCTTTCAAACTATGTAACCGTTTTTGTAATATTAAACCATTATTTTGTAAATATATATACCATACCCTGTAAATTCATTTAGATTGCTCTGAAGATGCTGTATTGTAACAACGAAACGTTAGCTAATATATTTTTTACTTTTGTGTTTGGTTTTAAAGCTATTTGCTGGGCTCTGCTCTTTATCTTTAAACTAAGATTCCCGCCTGGCGTATCAGTTGCCAACAGGGCCGCCGAGAGGTTGGCGGGGACCCGGGGCAATTTTTTTTTAGGGGCCCCTATCTAAAAAATTTTTCCCCAAAAAAATTTTCGGTCAGTGTACCATTTTAGGGGTAAAAAAAATTTTCCGGAGTACAAAATTTTTCCGGACGAGTACGTTGCAATTGCTTTCGAGGGACTATCTCATTTACCTTTAGCCCAAGAAAACAGATATCTTGTCCTTTGCGCGGAAATATTTAACACACAAAAAAGGCTGGGGCCCAACAAAAATTTTTCAGGGGCCCCCAGCAACTCGGGGCCCGGGGCAATTTGCCCCCCTTGCCCCCCCTCTCGGCGGCCCTGGTTGCCACAGCATTGACCATTGTCACAACAATACCTCTCAACCACTTTTACAGGGATCGTTTATGCGCGAGTGATATGATCCAAATTAAGAAAGTTATCGAACACGTTTATGAGAAATTCTTTGGAAGCGAGAGTTCAGGAACGAACTCGACTCCTGGAAACGAACGAGAGCCAAGCACGGTGGAAAGTGAAGATATTTCACAGATTGCTCATTCGAAGATTGAATTATATTGTAATGATCAGGTAATAATGTTGTTGCTGTTGCTGTTGCTGTTGCTGTTGCTGTTGCTGTTGTTGTTGTTGTTGTTGTTGTTGTTGTTGCTGTTGTTGCTGTTGTTGCTGTTGTTGTTGTTGTTGTTGTTGCTGTTGTTGTTGTCGTTGTCGCTGCTGCTGCTGTTGTTGTTGTTGTTGTTGTTGTTGTTGTTGTTGTTGTTGTTGTTGTTGTTGCTGTTGTTGTTGTTGTTGTTGTTGCTGTTGCTGTTGTTGCTGTCGTCGTTGTTGTTGCTGTTGTTGTTGTCGTTGTCGTTGTTGTCGTTGTTGTTTTGTTATTGTTGTTTGAAACTTGTTTTCTGTGTTCTTGGAACACTACACAGTTACTACAGTTAACTCTACTAATTTTCAATATTCATCGTTCAGCTTCTAGAACCATCAATGGACCTAAGAACTGTAAAACACTACCTTTGGAAAAATAGTGGAGAGATTGTGTTGCACTACAAACTTCTCAAGTAACAGCGAATCGAAAATTTCCCTAAATTTCTCGGTTCGCAACCTGCCTGAATTATAGATTATATACTATTTATTGTTATATTCGAATTTCCCCTGAACAGCTTAGAAATATGAATATGCCTGATAAATATGCTTCAAGCAGCAGCAATGACAATGTCAAATGGTATACTGAAGAGTGAAACACCCTCTGGGGGTTGTTCATATGAGCCTTGCCAGTCAGGCTGAACTGGGATGAATCGTATCACGAAATCAAACTAAGCTATGTCAACTGTGAGATGTCATTTTGGATGTTTATTAAAGCTGTGATAAGAGCTTTATTAATTAAACAAACCATCCCTGTTAACTGACCAAGCCCAGCTCCAATATGAACAGCCTGTAAGGTCTGTTCTCCACTTGGGCTATACAGGATGTCTAAAAAAGTGAACTTTAATAGAAATCACCCTTTTGTGTAAACGCCTAAACTCCATTACCTCTGGGAGGTTAGAATGCATTGTAATTGGTTCTAAAGGTTCACTTTTTTTTAGACAACCTGTTTAATTTCATAGTCCAATCTTAAAATTGATATGAGCGATTTGTGTCTGGCATTTCTTTGTATATACAATTTTAAATAATGTAAAAATAAACCCTTAAATTATAGGAACAAAACTTAGGTAGAATATTACAGTTAAGATTTTGTTCTCGTGTTTAATGACTTTTCATTATTTTTTACCGGCTAATTGACAGTCTAGGGATGACCAATTGCAGATAAAAACGTTCTTAGGGGTCGACTATTAAATATCCTCGGAGAAGGGGGGAGGGGTGGCAGACACCCCCCCCCCCCCAAAAAAAAAAAATACAAAGAGTACAATATGAAAATAAAATTCATACAAGCATTTCGATAAAACTCCGATGAAAAAAAAGTTCTTGGAAAGAAAATTTCGCCCCCAGCACATCTAATGGTCCCTTAGCTCAATCAACTTGACCAATCATCTTTGGGCTGAACATGATTGGCTGATCCGCGATTAAAACTTGTAGGAGTTTTTATTCGTGTCTGTCCATCGTTAGATGCCAACGACGGTATCGATGGAAATTGAATCAGCAAACTACAAGACAGCGGTGCCGTGTCCTCTCTCTAAACTTCATGTAAGTTAGCGTATTCAGATAATACGTCAATGCAAATATGGGCGATCAAAAGAAATGCAAATTTAAACGACTTTTTAATCTTTTTCGTAATTGCAATGAATTATGTATAACTTTCGAGTCTTCCAAGCCGAACGAAAGCAGCGTATATTCAAAACAAATTGTAAAGAATGGCTTAGAGTCGATGTCAGTTTTATACCATGGCCGAGATAAATGGCACTCGAAGGCGAAACGACGTGAACTGGTCGCGTTTCGGGCTTGCCGAAAACATTCAGAGCTCAAAACAACAAGCTTCAAACGAGAACAAAAGCGACGAGCAAACCCGTAGCCAACACGTACGAGAATTATTCGATGAAGAGGTAATCGTATATTGGAAATATTTTAAAATCGTTGGTATTCATAGAGTTTTACAAGTATATTATTTTAGACATATACGAAGCGGTATTTTGGTATTTGTATTCGATTTTACTGGCATTATATTAAGCCGAAGTATTCATATTTACAGCTGGCCCGGTATTAGATCTCTGATAAATGCCATTGTTATTCTAATTCTGGGTAAATAATAATATTTCTCAAAGACAAGTTCAGACAATGTTGTGACCAAGTTTAATGCAGAATAATATATTGCCATATAGGTATAAATTATGAAACCCATTCTATTTATTCCCTTTAAAAGTACAATTCATGAATAAAATTGTCATCAATAAGTAAAAGTCTGTTGCATGCAACGATTGCCTGTAAAATGGAAAATGCAAAAGTGTATTCTATTATTCATGTAACATAGTTTGGTTTTAGTACAAACAGATTTTATCAGTTGCTAAATTCAGAAATGATGAAATTACGGTCGAAAATTGACAATTTATACAATTATATGGTCATCGAACATGGCAGACAATTGAACGTACAAAGTTTACAAAACCTTTTACGATTCTGAAAGATTTCCTTTTTAATATTTAATGTGAGGTCTCTTTAATTTGAATTTAAGGCAATGTTTATTCATTTAAATTAAGGGATTTTCATATTAGATATATGTGCCAGTTAATATGTAAAATCTCATTACTTATTTATGACTGTGTGATAAAAAAATTAAATCAGAATTTGAAGACTACACACTGTTTTCAAATTGATGCACAACTCCAAATTCCAATCTATATGTAAATAATTTTTGATATCTCTGAACATTTCCTAAACCAAAGTGTAACCAAATAGCTTTTATTTGGTTGTCTGTATAGGAAATTGCCAATTTTTACTATAGCAAGTACGCTTGTTTGAATGCAAGTATGCCAGCTTTCGAACAGGAGCACTGACTTGTCTGGAATTTTTTTTGGCAAAGTACAAATTTTGTTCGACTGTATGGATCAACGAAGAAAATTTGTAAAAGTGATCTGAGCACTTGCATATGTGGTTGGCAGAGCATTGGGCTAGTATTCCAAAGGTTGGCCAGGCATATTTTTCAAGCTTGGCCGGTGTGGATATACACTCAGAGTAACATCACAAGCATCAGCAATCTATTGTTGTAATTATAGCTATAACAGTAGCTATCGTGGTATCATGTCAGGCCCGTAACTAGCTATGAGTGAACCGTTGACTCAGTAAGATTTTTTGTGAAAAAATTAAAAGCAGGAAGACTTCAAGTTTAGAGAGAAAACAGATCCTGGATGAAATTTATTCGATTTCTGATGAAGGGTAGAAGTACGAATTAGCGTCCCAAATATTATCACAAACACATTTTTTACACCTGATCATGTTGTACCAAGAATGCTTGAATTCTTACGATTGGATACTTGTAGTCATTGTGTCACTGTTTATGATGTAGTCATTGTGTCACTGCTTAAAACTGCTCCCAGAATGCCAGGAAGACTATGAAATTAGAGTCATTGTGTCACTGTTTATCATTACTGATTTTTTGCTAAAATTGCTCCCAGAATGCAGGAAATAGCGTTTCCAAGCCTTAGAAAATCAAACATTTTCTGGGGGAGCATGCCCCAACGACTCGACTTGGTGGATTTTAAATCTTATTCACCTGAGTACACTACACCAACACAACAAACATTGTAACAACCTTGTTGATATTATCAGACTTGTTGCAAAGTTCCGTTGTTCCAACAAGTCTGATACAGTCATGATATAACAATATTGTTACAACCTTGCGTCGTCAACCTTGTAACGTTCTTATATCGTGACTTTATCAGTCTGATAATGCCATCAAGCTTGTTACAAGTTGTTAGAAGGCAAAATCCAGCGGGCAAAATGACGTTTATCCAACGTTGAATCAACGTTGGAAATGACCTTCCAGACGTTGGATAGACGTTGAAAAAGGGTTGACTATGCAAATTGGATCGACGTTACTGTTTCGACGTTGAAACAACGTTGAAGTTAGGTTGCCAATCTCGTCAACCATAATTCAACGTTGAATCCACGTTAAAACAACGTTGAGATTGGTTCACAAATCGACGTCGTACATTTAACCATGAATGAACGTTAATTCAACGTCTGTTGGCTGCTGTTGAACCAATGTTTGTAAAACAACGTCAGAGCAACGTAGATATTAGGTTGTCGACGTCGCAACCTTTTTTCTACCAAATTTCAACGTTGAAACAACGTCGTGTGCCCGGTGGGAAGTTTGTTCTAAACTTGTTACTAGGAAAGTGCGATACACAAATTGTCAAAACAGCTTGTGAACAGATTTGTGACAACTTGTTTGCAGACCTGTAACAACTTGTGCGTTTTCGCGTGTCTAGTTCAGGCATATTACGTATAAAACAATCGGCCGTACTTGTCCTCCACGTTTGAACATAGCAATTAAAATATTAAACTTTTGAAATGCAATATGCACCCATATGTCCAATTTTACTATATTTAATGCGAAATTCTTCGCTAAAATGTTACCGTTCATACTATTTTACTCTTTCTAATTCCAGCTGTGTGTAGGAAACCTACTTTATCATTTTACTCTGTCGATATATCTAACGCCAGACGCTTTCACTCGTGAGGGACCGGTTGTTTGAAACCAACAGCTTGGTTATAAATTTGGAAATATTTCTTCCAAAATTTTGTCTGGATCGGAAGGAGTTTTCTTCTGTGAAGTTTTGCGGAAACAAATGCGCAGAAATATACACAAACTAAAACAGCAGGTTAAAATTTAACCGATGGTATAGCATTAACTCAAAAAACAAAAAAACAAAAACACTTTTACTTCGCATTCTTCGACTGCAAAAGCGTGCAGCACGTATTATTCTAGACGCTGACTTTTCTACTCCTTCTGTTCTTCTTTTTTCCCAGATTCGAATAATCCCAATCTTTGATCTTGTTAAATTTAGGAAGCTTCTCTTACTAATTAACATTCTCACAAATCCCAGTGCTCCATCTTCATTTAAGCAAATGTTTAAATTCTTATCTTCTATTCGACAACGGGCTCTGACTAGAGCTTGCGCATATGACCTTCAACCCCCCTTTCCGCGTACTGACTCTGGTAAACGAACATTTCTGTACAGTGCTTCCATTCTTTTTAATTGCTTAGATAGCGATTGTGAGCAACTTGCTGCTTCGCCATCTTGCTCTTCATATACTAACGCCAAACAAAAAATTCGTAAAATCTTTCTTAACAAGTAAGACCTTGTTAAAGATTTTACGAATTTTTTGTTTGGCGTTAGTATATGAAGAGCAAGTTGGCGAAGCATATCGAAGATCTATTTTGTATAAATTGTAAATATTTACTAAATTGTAATTGTATTCATTACTAATTATTTTTTTCTCAAATGTAAATAGTCGTAATCTTTAATACTTTTTATGCCTGTAAACTGATCAAAATAGTGCGAGGGCCGTATGTTAGATAACTTTTACGGTTAATACGTTTTCCCTCGTGAAATAAAGTTTCTATTCTATTCTAACCCGCCTTTGAACAATGGGTTAATGTTCTACAAAGTTAGATAATAGAGTCCTCGTGGGCATGGTTTAAATGGCATACAGTAGATGTATGCCAAATCTCTTGCTTTTGGTCCGAGATTCCAGCTTTGGGACTCTCCAGCCATTGGCATTGTCACAAAATATGTCTTTCGTTACTGTCAGTCGCTACCTTTCAAACTAATTCAAACAGGACCGAAAGAATTCATCAAAACCGCGCACCCTTCTCTGCAATGTCTACCACCCCACATCGTCTTCTGATCTCTTCATTCCATAATGTCTTTTTATAATATATTTATTACAGGTGTATTTACTTCATGTATGCTAAATATATTTGGTGTTGTGATATTTCTTCGTACTGGATGGACTGTGGTAAGATCACATTGTTGTAAAATATTTTTAAAATACCTGCAAAAATTCTTCAACGTTCAGTTGAGTAACGGCCGATCAACGGACAATGACCGGCCAAAAATGCCTCTCGAGTGGTCACTTTTTTACCTCACCGGTCATTTTGACCATTTTCATGCCTTCCATCGTGATTGCTGACGTTTTTAATTAAAACATGAAACTATGATGTATCGCAACAAGTTTCTAATAGTTTGTTTCGCTGTTAGTGGAAGCGTATCAATGACCGGTCAAACAAATTTTGACCCAGCTAAAATCAAGTTGACCGGAGACCTATATCTCCCGTTATTTTGAGCCCTGATTAGTTCTATTATTAGGCCAAATAAAAATAATATTATTTCAGGTTTCCGACCGACCTGTCAAAAATATGACCGACCATAAACATTTTATTGATATTTCCCAGTAGAGATTATCTATTCGTAAATACCAGAATATTTTTATAGTCATCAGACTCATTTGTCTACAAATTATTTTGTTTGCTTATAATTTAATCATTATCTAGTAATGTTAATCATAGTTTTACACAAAGAACAGTTGAATAAAATATTAAAAACGCACATTATTCTGACATGGCAGCTACGGCTGAAAAAAAGACGAAAGGGTCTTGATGCGTTTGTTTCTCGCGAAACACATATAGCTCGCGGGTGATCCCGCGTGGCACGTTTTATCACGCGTGACAGTTACTCATAAACAATGGCGGCGCGAGAAACGCTTGAACTTGATGAAAAAAGTCCAGCATCGCTGATTGTTTTCGTTGTTTCGAAGAGTTTAATGAGTTTTAACTTACATTTATTGCATACTTGAGATAAAATTTTTTTTTTAAATAAAATGTTTTTTCTGACTTACCTACCCATATAAAACATGGCTGTGAAACCTGAAACCAACTATTATTTTTATTTGGCCTTAGTAAAAAAAAACACCTCAAATTTGCCAGGCAAATCACAATAAGTAGTATGTAAACGCACCTATAAATTTTGTTATATGAATAGTTAAGAGACTTATGCATATATCCATGCTCTGTGCATGATTCTAAGAAACTTTGGTTACCAAATTTTTAGGGTAATGCTGGAATTGCTTTATCGCTGTTCATTGTTCTGTTGACGTTGTTAATCTCGCTGATCCCCGTGCTATCTGCTATCGGAATTATCGATCATATTGATCATATCGAAAGCGGTGGTATCTATTTTGTTCTTACGCATATTCTTGGCGCAAGAATTGGAGCTACGGTTGGAATATTGTATTGCTTTGGCCAGGTAAGAGGAGTGTGTTGGAGTTCAAAGAAAGAAAACAGATACTGTGCGGAGTTTATTCAGTTTGTGATGAATTGCTCTACTTCTATTGGTCCCAGAAATTTTTCTGGATCTACATTTTTGCCGAAATTTTCAGACATTTCTTATGTTTGATAGCAATCTACGCATAATATAACTTTTGTAAACAAAGCAAATTTTGTAAAAGTTTATAATAATTTTGTATTAAAATGGTCCATTTTTGCGCTGTATGTGGTTGTTGTACCCACACAGATATTGTTAGGGAGCATCTGGAGGACACTCTAGGGATTTGTGACGTCAGTGCAATGGGTCTATAGGTCACAGCTGTTCCTGGTTAGGTCTAATAAATGTATATAAATTTCCACTCGATAATTTCCATCTACAATACCCTTCAACTATTTATTGAATCGAATGAGATACCAACAAATTCTTAATATGAACAGACCCTAACAGCTTGCACAATCACAGCAAACAATGTGCAAACGTTGAAAACATTTCTTTCGTCTTTTCGTTATAGGCTGCGAGTATTTCTTTATTTTCGTCCGGGTTTGGTGAATCTTTGGCCGAGACTACAAGCTGGGACAATCATTGGGCTGCAAGGACGATAGCTCTGATTGCCGCCCTAACGATATTAGGGATAATTTTAGCCGGAGTCAAATGGGTCGTGAAATTACAACTGTTGCTTCTGGCTGTTCTCGTTATCTCTGTATTGGACTTTGTTGTTGGGACGTTCGCTCATACTGACTTAGGTGGGTGGTTAGATCGATGTGATGCGAGGCAACATTCTGGCTTGTGAAAATGATTTTTCCAAAGCCGTATTTCATACTTATAGAAGTGCGCTATTTTAAGTTTTAAGTGTGGTCATTCAATCATGTACCCAAGTATATGTGTATCTGTGCCAAGTTGCTGTTGCTGTTGTTGTTGTTGCTCCTGCTGTTGTTGCTTTTGCAGTTGTTGTTGCTGTTGTTGCTCCTGCTGTTGTTGTTGTTGCTGTTGTTGTGTTGCTGTTGCTGTTGTTGTTGTTGCTGTTGTTGCTGTTGCTGTTGTTGCTGTTGCTGTTGTTGCTGTTGCTGCTGTTGTTGTTGCTTTTGCAGTTGTTGTTGCTGTTGTTGCTCCTGCTGTTGTTGTTGTTGCTGTTGTTGCTGTTGCTGTTGCTGTTGTTGCTGTTGCTGTTGCTGCTGTTGTTGTTGCTTTTGCAGTTGTTGTTGCTGTTGTTGCTCCTGCTGTTGCTGTTGTTGTTGTTGCTGTTGCTGCTGTTGTTGTTGTTGCTTTTGCAGTTGTTGTTGCTGTTGTTGCTCCTGCTGTTGTTGCTGCTGTTGTTGTTGTCGCCGTTGTTGTTGTTGTTGTTGTTGTTGTTGTTGTTGTTGTTGTTGTTGTTGTTGTTGTTGTTGTTGTTGTTGTTGTTGCTGTTGCTGCTGTCGTTGCCGTTGTTGCTGATGTACTTTAAATATAGTAGTTTGGCACTAATTGTTATCTACGTTATTTAGCAAATGGTTTAACTGGTTACAAAGAAGAAAATATGGTGAAGAATATCAACCCCAAGTTTTCCGAAGGCCAATCATTCTTTACAGTATTCGGCGTGTTCTTCTCTACTGCCACTGGAATTATGGCGGGAATTAACATGAGCGGTGATCTAAAAAATCCTGGCTGT